AAAATAAATTATCAAAAACTTTTTTTAAAAAAATTTAAACGGGTAGCGAACGGGGAAATGACCCGCTCCGACCCCAACCCCACCCTCACCTTGCTGTAAATGGGTAACGGAACATAGAATTTTTTTAGTGAGGCTAGGGGCGGGAAGGGCCGCCCCGCAACATTAACAAAGCCTAATGTCGTTTGAGCATGATGGGGATGGATCACGTGATTAAATTATTTCAGTCAAAATTAGTTTCCTAATTTGTCGTTCACTTATGAATATAGGGGACATGCATGTGGTTTAGTCCAAACCTGCCTCATTTTAAATAATAATAATAATAATGTGATTAATACCCTCATTTTAAAGCACATTAATATTTTGTACGAAAATCATGTTTAAGGACAAGTGATTTTTTTTTTTATCAATAAAATATTAAAAATAAGAATGTGATGAACAAAAAGTTAAAAATATTATTTTAATGATAAATAGAAATTAATTACCTTAAATGTAATTAAAATGTATTCTATTTATATAAAAAGAATTATGTTGATAACCCATCATGAACTATAGAGATTAAATCTACTATGGTGTGTTCTCGAAACTTTTACGTGAAATGGAAGAGAAGTCGATAAGAAAATGTCCAAGGCATCTGCATTTAAACGTCGTTTAAAATAATGTAACCTATAACTAATACATTTTATCAGAAGTTGAATATCTGGATTAAATTAATCAAGTCTGATTAGAAAAGTCTCATCACGAGCAATAAGTCGATAAAAAAATGTCCAGGGCATCTGCATTTATACGTTGTTTAAAAATAATGTAACCGTTAGCTATTATCAGAAGTTGAATATTTGGATTAACTTAATCTGGTCTCATTAGAAAAGTCTCATATGATCACGACGATACAGTAATTATAAAGAAACAACCCCATGTACTTGGACCACTCAGATTCAGTTGGATAAGAAATCAAGATCAATATTAATCCGCATTCCAATATGATAATATAATATAATAGGGAGACTGATTGATTTCCTTGCTACTGTATATTGGAGACTTAAAGAAAGCTTAGAGAGGAAAAGCTAGCACCCCAATTAATGGAAATTCAGCTTCTTCCCTTCAACTTCACTACTTTCTTGCTTTTCCTACCCTTCATCTTTCTCTTAGTTAAGCCATGGAAGAAATCGAATTCCCTTAACCAGAACAAAAGATTGCCTCCGAGTCCGTGGAAGCTGCCTTTGATCGGAAACCTACACCACTTGGTAGGTGCACTACCGCATCATTCTCTAAGAAAGTTAACTGCAAAATATGGTCCCATTATTCATCTGCAGCTCGGTGAAGTTTCTATGATTGTCATATCATCTCGTCAAACTGCTAACGATGTACTCAAAGTTCATGATCCTGCTTGTGCTGATAGACCAGAAAGTATAGGAAGTAAGATTATGTGGTATAACTATACTGATATTGCCTTTAGTCCATATAATGACTATTGGAGGCAAATGCGCAAAGTATGCATTTTGGAACTCTTAAGCACAAAAAATGTCCGGTCATTCGGCTCCATAAGGATAGATGAGGCTTTATGTCTGATTAATTCTATTCGGTCATCTTTAGGAGAATCTATCAATCTAACCGAGAAAATAGTCTTATTTAACAGTTCGATGACATGTAGAGCAGCATTTGGTGAAGTACCAAGAGACGAAGACACCTTGATAATGTTGATGAAGGAAGGAGCAGTCTTGGCAGGGGGCTTTGAATTGGCTGATTTTTTCCCATCATTGAAGTTGCTACAGGTCATGAGTTGGAATAAACGTAGATTGTGGAAGATGCGTGCTAAACTTGATTCAATACTTGACTCCATGATTGGCGAGCATAAAGATAACCTGGGTACAAAGAAAAGAGGCAATCGGGAGTCCGATGGTGAAAACATAGTAGATGTTCTACTCAGATTACAGCAAAGTGGGGAATTGTCTATTCCAATAACTAATGACAACATAAAAGCAATCATTTTTGTAAGTATTTGAGTCAGAAAAAAACTACTTATTTCTTATTAGTTAACACTAATTCTTCCGACAAATAATAATTAGTTTTATGGTTGCAGGATTTGTTTTCCGCAGGAACTGAAACTTCATCTGCAACAATAGATTGGGCGATTGCAGAACTAATGAGAAATCAAGATGTGATGGCAAAGACACAAGCTGAAATAAGACAGGTTGTTAAGGAAAAAGGGACAATCGAAGAGAGTGATGTTCAACCACTAAAATATTTGAAGCTGGTAATCAAGGAAACTTTAAGGCTGCACCCTCCATTTCCTTTACTTGCAAGAGCTTGCAGGGAAGAATGTGAAGTTGATGGATATACTATACCCATTAAAGCCAAGGTTATGATTAATATATGGGCTATGGGAAGAGATCCGGGTTATTGGGATGATCCTGAAAGCTTTAAACCAGAGAGATTTGAGAGCAATTCTATTGATTTTTTGGGAAATAACTTCGAATTTATTCCATTTGGAGCAGGAAAGAGGTTTTGCCCTGGCATGAACTTTGCCTTGGCGAATATTGAACTTCCTTTAGCTCAACTTCTTTACCACTTTAACTGGAAACTTCCCGACGGAATGCTCCCTAATGATATAGATATGAAAGAGGGAAAAGGATTAAGTGTACCTAGAAAAAATGATTTATACTTGATTCCCACACCCTACAACTCTTCCACCACTGATGGTTAAGTGATCTATCAAAAGAAGACTTGATCCAAACGAGAAATAAGTTTGCCTGTCATATACTCATATCATAATTGACTCTCTGAATAATTATTTCAGGAAAGGTAAGTAGGTTTCATTTCCTATATGTATAATGTATTCCTTTTTATTGCAGTCTCTTTGAATTTCCTTGTGATGGGCTTAGCCTCAGCTTTATAAATAGAATCTTTAGTATTCAATGTTTGAAGAATATAAATTTCATATTGTGGGTTTCTCAAAAGAATCAAATACATATCATATATTGATACTTGAATTCACAACAAAATGATAAATAGAACTAAACAACAAATTCAATACATTAATTAAGATCTAGGAAAAGCTAACATTTTCCAGAGTTGGTGGAACAATTGCATTTGTGGGCTCGCAATCCCAGCGTGGAGAGTTCGATTCCTGGAAGACACGGGTCTTGGAAGGGGGATTTTTTCGAAGGCAAGGCAATGACTGAAAGGTAGTGAGGAGAGCTCTCTTGGGGCCAGGAGTATAAGCGGTGCAGGAACTTGGGAGCCAACAAGGGCATAACCCGTGGTTTACCTCCTCGAGTCGCTGAGGGACCAGTGGCTAGAGGTCCAGGATTTAGTCTGGCTAACCTGGGATACATGGATATCAAAAAACATGGAAATAAAATAAGTAGGTTACTAGCACCAAGTAGGATAGACGACGCCAGGAGCTCTAAATGCCACATCGAATCCGTAATCCTATTACCACACGCATGAGTAATTACAATGTCCATTTGAGTTAGTTGACTAAGACATGCGCCTCTCATGTATAAAACTTTCCCAGATTTAGAACGCAAGATAACATCAAATAAATCAGAGTCGCTCTCCAACTAAAGCTTCTCTAACTATAGGTCCATGCAAAGTTAATAGTATAAATGACACTACTAAGTTCAGCTTCAAAGGCACAACAAACATTGAGAATACGGAAACACCCCTTGATTATAAAGCCCTTGCAGATTTTCAACAACACATTTTATCAATTTTTATGAAATTTTACTAAAGATATGATCTTAAACCCATCAAACAAGGGCTTAGTCACATAGAAAAAGTTGGCATACTTCCCTCAAACATAGTGCAATTTGGAAAGAATCAAACAACTTAGAAAACGGAAAAATTTGGAGCTTTGCTTTTTCTTTTGGGATGAAGGAACCTCGCATCCCAGCCTTGTAAAGAACAAGGATAGTACCATCAACTTGGATGATATGTCAAAATACAAAGATACCCCAAAACAAAGAGGCATGTCAGAAAGAGATGTTGCAACATTTTCTCAGTGTCATAGCACAAGAAGGCTAGACATAAGCATATGCACAAGTCTCCACCCCATCTATTGTGTATGACCAAAAAATTAGAATTCACCTCTCAAGGATGTCAAGTACCACGCCAACCCAATTAACCTCATCCATTTCGCAACCATCCTTTTCTCTCTCTTTAATTCTCAACCTCAACCATTAACGACCTCATAGTTGTGGAAAAAAGATCAGTTGGATGAGAATTCCTTTGTTCCTGTTCTATTCTCATTTTGAGTTTTCATCTCTTTGGAATTAACCTTCTTCTCTTATAATTATTGTTGAATGCTGAAGCAGCAATGCAGCATCATATCCGATATTTCTCATTTATTTAGAAAGTCTCCATACCCGTTCTTTGTTCACAGAAAATAATTGTTCGTTTTAAATCATCGCAAATGTACGGTTCGTCAGAAGTAATAAAGTGAAATTGAGAATT